TTAATCCAACTAGCTAGTCATATATTTTATTTATTTAGATATTATTTATAAGGTAAAATTGAGATTATAAGGGCTAGGTCAGGAAATATAGCATTAAGACATTACGCGAAGTTACGATATATATTTAAAATGAGGCATTAGCAAAATTTCAATTATAGGTATATTTAGTAGATATATATATTAAGCATTATTATATGGTATATAACGTAGGTTTATTACTATTAGTAGTAGGATTTAGCCCATATAGGTCGGGTTTGGCCCGTATAAGGTATATATAGACCCGGACGGATAGAGGGGTAGGGACCGATTGACCAGGATTATAATAAGGTAATAGGAGCTATATTAGATACACCCGAGCATAATAATAGCTTAGGATAGTGATTATAATACAGAGATATCATAGGTAAGCTTTAATAGATAAAGGGGTAGGGTTCGATTTTTTAGGTCATAAAATTAGTATTATTAGTAAAAAGGAGGGCCAGTTTTTACGTTAGGGGCCCCGTAATACGTAGTAGTAGGGTGTATCATAATAGTATTATAGGCATAATATATACCCAAGGATAGGTTAATAGTAGGGGTCAGGGTTTAGATAATTCAAAGGGATAGGGATCGATGTTTTCGGGTTATAAAATTAGCATTATTAGTGAAAATAGGGTTAGGTTTTTATAATATTTAGGGTTTAATAGGTAGCACGTTTTTATAGTACGAGGGTAGGCCATAATATTATTATAATATAGTATAAATTCACAATATAAGCCATAGGAAGGGGTCAGGGTTTTAATTATTATAAGGGGTTAGGGCTCCAAGTTTCCGGTTTATATAATTAGTAGTAGAGAATAGGGTCATTTATTACGATATTTTTATTAGTATTATATTGATATAGCAAGGTTTCAGTATATTATATACCCCAGCACATTTTAAGGATAGGGCCATAATTTAAGGTATTACGCCGGGGAAAGGCCATATTTTAGACACCCAAGCATATAGGTAAGGGTAGGGAGCTTAGATAGAGTAGTATAAGGGGGTAATTAGTTATAATAGAGTATAGGGGGTAGTAAATAGTATAATAAGTAAGGCATTATAATATAGTTAGTATAAGAAGGCAAAGAAGCCGTAGGTTATAAGCAATATTTCAATAAGACGCGGTTTTATTAGTAGGCATAATAGATATAGTATAATAGGGATTTACGGGTAGGGAGAGACATAGTAAAGTTAATAATAGGGAAGGGGTAGCGTAGGAAGAAGGGATAGGGAGAGGGGGTAAGGTTAATAGTAGGAGACGGGTTATATAAGTATAATAAGTGATATAGGGGTATAATAGTAGTAAATATAGCAGAATTTATAGATTATATTATAGTAAAAGGGGTAGGGTTCGTAGTAATATAGGGGGTAGGGTTTTATTAGTGGGAGCGGTCGGTTTTAGACATAGTGAGAGAGGGAAGGGTTTAAATAGACAGGGGGGTAAGGGATAGTCGTAGTATAAGGGAGAGGGGTAAGGGTTTTAATTAAGGTATAGGCAAGGTTTTAACGGTAAGAGTGGTAAGATAGGTAAGGGTTTTAATTAAGGGAGGGGTGACGTTTTCATAGTAATAAGGGTGAGGGTTAGTTATAGCAATAGGGAGGAGGGTAAGGGTTTTAATTAAGAGATAGGGAAGGGGTTAATTAATAGAGGGGTGAGGGTTTTAGTAGTACAATAGGTAAGGGATAGTAGTAGTAAGAGGGAGAGGGGTAAGGGTTTTAATAAAGAGATAGGCAAGATTTTAACGGTAAGAGTAGTAAGATAGGTAAAGGATTTAATTAATATAGGGGTAAGGGTTATAATTAATAGAGGGGTAAGAGATAGTAGTAGTAAGAGGAGAGGGGTGAGGGTTTTAATTAAGAGATAGGCAAGGTTTTAACGGTAGGAGTAG